TCTTATCGTTTGAATCTTGTCCAGGTTTCGCCCCGACCCAGAGTCCAAAGTGGGAGAGCCAAGGGAATAGGATAAGTGGTTTGGATTTACCCTAGCCCCGCCCTTTCCCCCCTCCCCTTACCCATCTCCTTACACCCACCTCCCCACTCCTACCACCTCCATCTACCCACCTCCCACCTTACCCACCACCCCTACCCCCTTACCCAACACTACCCCACCCCCACTCCCACCCTACCCACCACCTCCCCCCCTCCCACCCCCCTCCCCTACCCTTACCCTCACCCCTACCCACCCCCCACCCACAGGCAGGCAGGCGGCCAGGTACGTACCCACGAGCGCGTAAATCCTCGACGGGCCCAGCGCACGTACCCGAAGCCTGGGCCGACGCTAAGCCGATGCCTCGGGGGCGCACCTGACTGGTAAGGAGGGGGCCCCGGGCGATGTGGGAAGGGGGCGGGGGAGGGGGCGGGGGTAGTGGGGGCTGGGTGGGGGGAAGGGGGGTTATTACTCCCCACTGTACGGGGATGCCGGTGTGTAGGATGGGTTTTGGGGGGAAAGTGGTGGTGGAGGAGGGTTGGGGGTAAGGATAGGAGGAGGGAGGGTAGGGAAGAGGATAGGAGGAGGAAAGGTAGGGGATGAGGATAGGAGGAAGAAGGATAGGGAAGAGGATAGGAGGAGGAAGGACAGGGAAGAGGATAGGAGGAGGAGGAGGAGAGGATATAGGATAGGAATAGGAGGAGGAAGGATAGGGAAGTGGATAGAAGGAGGAGGAAGGAAGTGATAGGAGGAGGAAGAGGGGATGAGGATAGGAGGAGGAAAGTAGGAGTAAGGTGTGGTGGAAGGAGGGTTGGGATAAAGATAAGGGTGAGGGATAAGAGGAGAAAGATAGAGGGGAGGAGGAAGGACAGGGATGAGGATAGGAGGAGTAAGGATGAAAGGAGGAGGATAGAAATAAGGGTTAAAGGAAGAATGATAGAGATAAGGGTAAAAGTAGGCAAGGATAGGAATAAGGAGACAAGGAGGAATAATAGGAACAGTATGAAAGGAAGAAGGATTGAAATAAAAGTGAATAACAGTAATGATCAACATATTTGGATTAATAATAATGAGAAACAGCGACTTGCTGTGCTGATGTTGGCAATGTAATGCTGTCAGTTCGCCATAATAAAAATAACGGCAATAATGATAATTAAAAAAATGAAGAATTAGAATAACAGCATAACGACATTCGAAAGAAGAAAATGAATAAATAAACTTTCTCCCCAGAAATGAAAATAAACCTCGTATCCCCCTTTAAAAAAAAAATCTTTAAAATCTTTTTTAAAAAATCTTAAAAAAAAAAATCTTTCTTTCAACATGATTTACGTGTAGCTTTCCTCCGCCGTATGTCATGATAATAATTCCCAAAGTATGGTGATTAATGTTAATAAGCCCCGTGCAGTGTTGCCAGACGGACGCGGGAGTTCAAGAGGGATGACGAATGCGGGGGAGGTCGCCAGGAGAGGTCAGAGGTCAAGGGGGTCAAGACGCGGGATGAGGAGCGAGTTGAACATTATGGGACCTGCAATTACCACCGGGGGATGCTGGCGAGGGCCCAAGGGAGGGGCTGGTTAGGGGCCAAAGGGGTAATTATGCACCGTAATGATATGCCCTGTGCGAGATCCCGGTTGCGGAATCACTTCATAACGAGAAAGGGGGGGGGGAGGGAGTTGGACGAGGGAGGAATACGGGAAGGGGGAAGGGGTTTCAAAATGGAGTTCTTGGGGTTGTTTGTAAAATATAGAGTAACAATATATATATATATATATAAATATATATATATATATTATATATAATATATATATATATATATATATATATATATATATATATATATATATATATATATATTTATACACACACACACAACACACACACACACACACACACACACACACACACACACACACACACACACACACACACACACATATAGACACACATACACACACACACATTTATATATATATATATATATATATATATATATATATATATATATATATATAGAATAGGTTGTAGGTTAAGATCACACCGGAGACAGTGCTCATAATATCTCTTTCAAGTTGTTGATGAAAGCATTTTCTTCGTGTCGGAGGCGAGAGCGCTGGCCAATGGAGGTAAAGGGGTTGGTTTAATGGCAACCCTTATCACACCGGGGAGTACGAGGCTGTTTGTAATGACAGTACTTACACTTGGTTTGGGTCGTCGGGTGGGGGAGGGGAGGGTCGTTTGGGGGGGTGAGAGAGAAGGGTCGGAAGGGTTTAGGGGAGAGGAGGAGGAGGAGGGGGGGGGGGAAGAGGGAAGGGGTTAAGGGGGGAGGAGACGAGAGGAGGAGGGAGGCTGGGGGAGGGGGGGTCGTTGGGGGAAGGGCGTTAGGGGGAGAGTGGAGAAGGAGGGAGAGGGGGAGAGGAGGGGGGGCAGGGAGGAGGGCTGTCACCCGAGGAGAAGCCTTATTATTGGATTATGGTCAGGGGGGTTATAGGGATCGGGGGGGGGGGGGTTACCTCTGCAGTTCTTGGGTTATTTAGTTATTTTATGTTTTGTTCCTGTGTGTGTGTGTGTGTGAATGTGTGTGTGTGTGTGTGTGTGTGTGTGGTGTGTGTGTGCGCGTGTGTGTGCGTGTGTGTGTGTGCTGTGTGAAATTCAGTGTTATGTCTCGTCGCCATTGCCGTTATCCACACACACACACACACACTACACACACACACTCACACACACATACACACACACACACGTACACATGTAAACCTACCATTAGACACATACATAGTCGTAGTTTATAAAAATTTCTTGATGCAACACCACAGCGCCCAGGAAGGTCAGCTGTCTGTGGTCGGCGAAGCAAGGACGAGACGGCATTTATTGCCCCTAAGGTCTGGGTTGGAACTGAGGTGAGGCTGAGAGGAAAGGGGACGCGGGAGGGAAGGGTGAAGGGAGGGACGGAGAGAGAGAGGGAGGAGAGGGAGAGGGGAGGGAGAGAGAGGGAGAGGGTGAGAGAGAGGAACGGGTGAAGAAAGGAAGGGGAGAGGGAAGGATAGAGATGAGGGAGAGGGAGAGAGGAGACGGAAGGATGAAGAGAGGAAAGGGAGGAGGTGAGGGAGGAAGAGTGTCAAGAGGGTCGGAGGGAGGGGAGAATGGGAGTGATGGTAGGAAGGAGGGAGGAAAGAGCGATGAAGGGAACAATTGAAGAATGAGTTAAAAATGGGACAGTGAGGGACGCGGAGAGACGAGGCAAGAGAACGAGGAGGAAAGAAAGGAGGGAAGGAAGGAGGGAGCGAAGGGTGAAAGAAGGGAGGGCAGGCGTGGCGAAGCGAGTTTATAGTGGGGTTTAAGGGGATAAAGCAGGGAAGAGGACAGAAGGGAGAATAAGAAGGAGGGAATAGGAGATTAAAGGATTTTGTGGGAAGAGAGACGCGGAGACCATGGAGAGAAGAAAGGGAAGTGGAGAAGTGGGAATAACGAGGAAGTGGAAGAGGTGCGTCTGGGAAGAGTGAGGAGCAAAAGAGAAGCAGAGAGAGAAAATGGGAGATAAAAGAGTTGTAAGAAACGAAGGATGAATGAAAGTGGATAGTAGAACGATAAGAAACGAGAGAAAAAAACGAGAAAAGGATTGTGAATGAGGGGGAATGAAGGAGAGGAGAGACAGAATGGGGATTAGAGCAAAATGGAGGGTTTAGGGAAATGGAATGAGGAGAGAGCGAGAAGCGAAAGAAAGGGAGGACCAGCGACAAGGAAAATTCGGGAGAGAGAAAGAACCGAAGCGTAAAGTGAAGAGAATGGGAAATGGAAGAAAGGGAGAAGGTGAGGTAAGTTAGGGCGACGCCGGGGGGGGGGTGAGGGGGTTGGGGTTGGGGTGGGGTTAGCTTTCTGTGATTTTTTTTTTTTTTTATGTTCAGGTAGTCTGTTTTTTTTTTTTTTTTTTTTTTTTTTTTTTTTTTTTTTTTTTTTTTAAGAATGGAAATATTGTGCGTTTGCTGGTAGTAGGATTGTATTAGGAAATCAGTCTCTCTTACTCACTCACTCACTCACTCACTCACTCACTCACTCACTCACTCACTCACACACACACACACACACACACGCACACGCACACGCACACGCGCACACACACACACACACACACACACACACACACTTACACACACACACTCTCCCCACGCTCGTCTACACAAGCATCCAGACATGACTACATTCTCTCGGTTTAAAAATCCGACTTGCAGCTCATCTCAGCCGATGGGCCTTATCGCTGCCGGCGGGGGAAAAAAATGCGATAAACACCATATGGCATCAAGGCTGTTTTCCCTGGACTAATAACAGGGCGAGGTCGTCGGGTCACGCGCGTCTGTTTGCGTGTTTGTTTGTTGTGCTTTGCGTTTGTGTTTGTTTGTGTGTTGTTTGCGTGCGTCTGTTGCGTGTGTTTGTTTGCGTGCGTTTTGTGATTGTTAATTTTTAATTTAAGGTATATGTAAGTCGTGTTTTAATATTTACTCGTTTTTTTTAGATTGGTTTTAAGTCGTGTTTTAATATTTTACTCGTAATGTTTTTTTTTAGATTGGCGTTCTGGGCTTGTATTTAACAGGTATAATTTTTTTTTAATGTATTAAGCGTGGTAATATTTTTTTTGAATTTGTGTTGATGTTCGGGGCTAGTATTCACTCAAAAGAAAGTTTAAATTGGCGAGAAATAGATACGTTTGTCCTTTATGGAGATTTAGGATAACGAGTTTCCACTTTCCTTTATTTTTTATTAAGTCGTTTCGTCAGAGTTTCCCAAGCCCGAATGAGGAAACGGCGAATCATGAGGCTTTCTATCCACCTCCTTTTTGACATCCATGACGGACAGGTCGACATCACCCCCCCCCCCCCACCCCCCCGCAACCCGCCGCCTGTGACCTGCGTGACCTGGAGGGCGTCCGGGGTTCTCCCTCCTTGCCGGGAAACAAAGAAAGTGCAGACGTGTGCGATCTGCTTTTTTTCCCCCCTCCTCCTCTCACTTTTCTTCTTCTCTTCTTCCTCTCCTCCGCCTACCTTTTCTTCTCCTCCTCCTCACTCATCTTCCCCGCCTATCTTTTCTTCTCCTCTTCCTCCTCCTCACTCATCTCCTCCTCCTCCTCCTCCTCCTCCTCCTTCCCGTCTCCCTTTTCTGTTTCTGCTCCTCCTTTTTTTCTTTTTATTTTTCTTCTGCTCCTCCTCCTCCTCACTATTCTTCTTCTTCTTGGCTGGTTCAGAGAGGGTGTGACAAGTGGATAGGTGAATAGGGATGTTATTTTTCTTTACTGTATTTGGAGTTTACCTGAGTCCTTCCCTAAATTGGAAAGCTCACGTAGGCCTACCATCGTTTTCTCTTTCTTCGCTTGGCATTTTGTCCGGGCGAAATGAAAGAAAATGGGAGGCTCATAGGCCTACTATACGGGCAGACTCAAGCAAACATATATGCGTGTGTTGTGTGTGTGTGTGTGTGTGTGTGTGTGTGTGTGTGTGTGTGTGTATGTGTGTGTGTATATATATATATATATTTGTTTATTTATTTATTTATTTATTTACTTATTTATTATTTATACTTACTGTATATTCAGACGTAGCCATATATGCGCTATTGTATATACATACGCCCGCTTAGTAGGCAGTGATATTCCATGAAATTTAATGATTATGGACCGTTATATCATAGAATATTATTTCTTATTCAAAGGGAACGGGAACGAAGTTACTGCTTTAGTTTAGAAGTTCGTCAATTCATTGTTAGATAGATAGACAGAGCAATGTAGAATTAAAACAGAAAGTAATTTGTTAGGAAATGGTTTGGTATATTTTTAAAAAGTATCCGCTGTAACCTCAGCGATTCCTTAGGCCTATGCTCGTTTTCTTTGGTCTCATCGGCCGTGATTTAGGCTTTTGAGGTCAGAGAAAATGGGAAGTTTGGTAGAAGGACAAACATTTGGATGAAAGCGACTTCTTATTACATTTATAAATACTGTACAGTAATTTGTACATTAATATGGAAAGGAAACAGCCACATTCAGGAATTAAATGGTGTCTGTTTCATTTTCATTTTTTATCGTCTTAAATTCTTCCGAATAGTCCTCATATAAACGCACCTTTTTTCGTTTTTCTTCCGTGTTCTTGCAGTTCAAACGCCTTCTTTTCTGAAGCCTTAATCTTCATTGCAAACAACGCTGCGGTATTTTTTTTCAATTTTTTTTTTTTTTTTTTTTTTTTTTTTGTTCATCGTTCTCGCGCCGCCATATTTGCAGGCATGTGGCTCCTTAGTGACGCAGAACCTTTTTTTTCAGTCTACAAGAACAACGGCAAGATTGTTATATTTTAGTTGCACAAGACCTGCAATTGCACGAGGGTTTATCATCGTAAAAGTACACTTGTTCATCTCCCTCAGCTGGTTCTGCAGAGGCCATTGTATAAATGCTATTCATGGGAATAGGAGAGGTATAAAAAGTTGCAGGGCGGCGGGAGGAGCTGTGTGAATGAAGATTTTCTCCGCTGGTGGGGCGCTAGAGGAGAGAGGGAGAGGGGAAGAGAGGGGGGAAGAGGGAGAGAGATAGGGCGAATAGGGAGAGAAGGAGAGGGGAGAGAGAGAGAGGAATAGGGAGAGGAGAAGGATAGAGCGATAGAGCGAAATAGGGAGAGAGAGAGGAGATAGAGGTAAGAGATAGAAGAGCAAAGAGGGAGAGGATATAGAGCGAATAGGGAGAGAGAGAGATAGAGGGTAGGGAGGAGAGCAAGAGAGAGAGAGCGAGAGAGCGAATAGGCGAGAGAGAGGAAAGAGGGAGAGAGATAGAGCGAATAGGGAGAGGGCGAGGGAGAGAGAGAGGGATAGAGGGGGTAAGAGAAGAAGCAAAGAGGAGAGGGAGAGATAGGGAGAGAGATAGGAAAGCAAAGAGGGAGAAGACGAAAGAGGAGAGTGGTAGAGAGGAAAGGAAGCAGAGCGAGATAAATAGGGCGAAATGGAGAAAGAAGAAGAGAAGAAGTGGTGGAGAATGAGGATGAAAACGGAAGGAAAGAAGGAAAGGAAAAAAGAGAATAAGAAAGAAGGAGAAGGAGAAGAAAGGGGGAAGGAGAAGGAAAGGAATAAAGAAAGAGAAAATAAGAGAAGAAGAAATGAAGAAAGAGAGAGAGAATAATAATAGAAGGAAAGAGGGGATGAGAAGGAAAGGAAGAAAGAGAAAGAAAAATAATAATAAGAAGGAGGGGGGATGAGAAGGAAAGGAAGAAAGAGAAAGAAAATAATAATAAGAGGAAGGGGAGGAGAAGGAAAGGAAGAAAGAGAAAGAGGTAATAATAATAAGAAGGAAAGGAAAGAGGAAGAGAACATAGAACATATAATGATAAGAAGGAAGGGAAAGAGAAGGAAAGGAAGAAAGAAAAATAGAAGGAGAATGAGAGAGAAGGAATTCGGTCACCGCAAGCACGCAAAGTCCAAAAATGCAGGCGTAAATAGGGAGCGGGGCTGGAGGGGCCGCCGCCGTGTCAGCTGATTCGTTGGCCGGATGTGGGGCGGCGGGCGTCGCGGTCTCGCTGCGAGGGAGGCAGGGCGCGGGTTGAGTTGGCTTGGCTTGGCTTGGCTTGGTATGACTTGATTGAGGCGACTTGGCTTGCTTGGCTTTGGCTGGTTGGCTTGGCTTGGCTTGGCTGGCTTGGTTTTGGCTTGGGGTTGGTTGGCTTGGCCTTGGCTGGGGTTGATTAACTTGGCTTGGCTTGGGCTTGGCGGGTTGGGACTGATGGAATAACTTGACTTGGCTTCCCTTGGCTTGGCTTGGATAACTTGATGGCTTAATTACTTGGGCTTGGGCTGGGTTGCTTGTGTAAAACTTGGCTGGTTTGATATAACTTGGCTTGGCTTGCTTGGTTGGCTGCTTGGCTTGACTTGCTGTCTTGGATGATGATAAAACTTGACTTGACTTGGTTGATAAAACTTGACTTGACTTGACTGGGCTGGTTAATGAAACTACGAAGATGAAATATCTTTGTAAAAAAAAAAAAAAAAAAAAAAAAAAATTGCATAATGTTGATGTTCACGATTAATGTTGATTTTTCTCGGATGAGCTGATTTTGAGGAATGACGTGTGTTCATAGTTATCAGTGCTCTGGGGTTTAAATATCAGGAATTGCTGGTGTTACAAATACTTGGAGAATCTATGCTAGGTATTAGTCGTGATTTAGGTTGACGTTCATGCTGGGTATATACCGTGTAATTATTATTATTATTGTTATTATTATGTTGTTTGTTGTTGTTGTTGTTTGTTGTTGTTATTATTATTATTATTATTATTATTATTATTATTATTATTATTATTATTATTATTATTATTATTATTATTATTATTATTATTATTATTATTATTATTATTATATTATTATTATTAGTGTAAGATGTATCAAGAGCTAAACTGTAAACGTCGAGATTTATACACGAAAGGTTTCAGTGCTCTGGGGTTTAAATATCAGGAATTGCTGGTGTTACAAATACTTGGGGAATCTCTGCTAGGTTTTAATCATGATTTAGGTTGACGTTCATGCTGGGTATATACCGTGTAATTATTATTATTATTATTGTTGTTGTTGTTGTTGTTGTTGTTGTTTGCTTGTTGTTTATTAATTATTATTATTATTATTAGTGTAAGCTGTATCAAGAGCTAAACTGTAAAAGTCGAGATTTATAACAGCAAAGGTTTCAGTGCATTAAGATGCTTCTTAGAAAGAATGAGAAGAGAGAAAGACAGCTAATTACGTAAGATTAACATGTTCGCTGATCTTTTAGACTTATCAAGAGTCGGAGAAGTTATAATCTCTGAAGGCAATCTATTCCTAAAACAGTAAAAAAAAAGCATCTAGAAAACTGACCTGTATCAAATGTCGTTGAATTGATGGGCGTTCAGGACCTCGTGTCGGAGAGTCGAATTCCAGTCTGGAAAGCTCTTTGTGGGCGTCCTATGCCTGGAATGTTCTCTTGCAGTGAGCTGAACCACGGGGGAGAACAGCGGGGTGGAGAACAGCGGGGGTGGTTAGTGCCGCCCCGACGCGTTCTGGAGTGGGCGTCTGCGCGGTGCTCCGTCTGACACGCGCTCGTCACCGGACAAAACTATACCCGGTGGAGTGTGCCGCGGCGCCCTTGAGAGGAGAAAGGGCGAACCGTCACGTTAGGAAACCGGTCGATAGGAAACGGTCGAGTCCCGAGATTGTAGGTCTATGGAAAGGAGGAGGGAGGAGGAGGGAAGGAGGAGGGGGAGAGGAGAGGAGAAGGAGAAGGAGAAGGAGAGGAGGAGAGGAGAAGGAGAAGGAGGAGAAGGAGAAGGAGAAAGGAGAAGGAGAAGGAGAAGGGAAGGGAAGGAGAAGGAGAAGGAGAACAGGAGGAGAAGGAGGAGGAGGAGAGAGGAGGGAGGAAGAGGAGGGTTGCTTGGGAGAAAAGAGCGTCGGTTGGTTGTTATTTCCCGGGGCTTTTGTTGTGCCGGGATTCTCACTCGGGGGACCGACTGGAATGCCCTACGAGGCTAGAGGCGAGCGGGGTCCCTTGCCTCGGCGTTCCGTGGGGCTGGCGCCGTGTTTTGGACTTTGTCTTTCTTTCTGCTTCTTTCTCTCTATATCTATCTATCTATCTCTCTTTCTCTTTCGCTTTCGCTTTCTCCATCTCTCCTCTTCTCTTCCTTTCTTTTTTCCTCTCTTCTCCTTCTCTCTCTCTCTCTTATTTGTATATACAAAGGTAAACAGAGAGTAAAAGAGAGAGAGAGAGAAGAGAAAGAGAGAGAAGAGAAAGAAAGAAGAGAGAGAAGAGAGAAAGAGAGAGAGAGAAGAGAGAGAGAGAGAGAGAGAGAGAGAGAGGAGAGAGAGAGAGGAGAGGAGAAAGAGAAGAAAAAGAAAAAGAGAGAAAGACAAAAGAAAACAGGAACCGGCTCGCAAGAAGGCCGACACGCGTGCAGTCATTCGCGCCGGCCGTAGGGTTCGGTGCCACTCGCCCAGCGCGCCGGAGAGGTACTACATGAAGCCGACAAGTCTCAGAGCGAGAGGGCAGCGGCAGGCAGGCCTAGGGCGTCGGCGGGGTGGGGGTGGGGGTGGGGTGGGGTGGGTGGGGTGGGGTGGGGTGGTCTAGTCGGGTCGCGCGGCATTCCAGCGCTTTTGGCCGGGTCTGCCTCGCTTCACATACGCAGATGCGGGGAGAGGAGGGAGAGAGGGGGGTAGGAGGAGAGGGAGATGGAGAGGAAGGGAAGAGAGAGAGGGGAGTGGAAGATGGAGAGAGGGGGGAAGGAGGAGGAGAAGGAGAGGGGAGATGGAGAGAGGCGAAGGGAGGGAGAGGAAGAGAAAGAGAGAGAGAGGGGAGTGGAAGATGAAGAGAGGGGGAGGAGGAGGAGAGGGAGGGGGAGGAGAAGGAGAGGGAGAGGAGGGAAAGAGAGAGAGGGGAGTGGAAGATGGAGAGAGGGGGAAGGAGGAGGAGAGGGAGTGGGTGAAGGAAGGGAAAGAGAGAGGGAGTAGGGAGAGGGCGAAGGAGAGGGAGAGGGAAGAGAAAAGAGAGAGAGGGGAGTGGGAGATGGAGGGAGGGGGAGGAGGAGGAGAGGGAGGGGTGAGGAAGGGAGAGAGAATGGGAGTAGGGAGAGGGAGAGGAAGAGAAGAAAAGAGAGAGAGGGGGGAAGATGGAGAGAGAGGAAGAAGGGAATGGGAGAGGGAGATGATAGAGAGTGGTAGAGGGGGAGAGGGAGAGGGAGAAGGAAATTAAGTGGGTGAGGGTGAGGGAAATGAGAGGGAGAGGGTAAGGGAAAATGAGAGGGAGAGGGGAAGGATAGAGGGATGAAGTATAAGGAGAGTGGGAGTGGAGAGGGAGAAGATGAGAGAGAGAAGAGAGAGAGAGAGAGAGAAGAAGAAGAGAGAGAGAGAGAGAGATGAGAGAGACAGACAGACAAAGAAGAGAGGAGAGGGAGTGGAAGATGGAGAGGGGGAAGGAGGAGGAGAGGAGTGGGGTGAGGAAGGGAAAGGAGAGGAGGGAGTAGGAGAGGGCGAAGGAAGAGGGAGAGGAAGAGACAGAGAGAGAGGGGAGTGGGAGATGGAGGGAGGGGGAAGGAGGAAGGAGAGGAGTGGGTGAGGAAGGGAGAGAGAATGGGGAGTAGGGAGAGGGAGAGGAAGAGAAAGAGAAAAGAGAAAGAGAGAGAGGGGGGAGATGGAGAGAGAGGGAAGAAGGATGGGAGAGGGAGATGATTAGAGAGTGGTAGAGGGGGAGAGGGAGAGGGAGAAGGAAATTAAGTGGGAGAAGGGGAAATGAAGGGAGAGGGAGGGAAAATGAGAGGGAGAGGGAAAGGATAGAGGGAGATGAAGATAAGGAGAGTGGGAGAGGGAGAGGGAGAAGAGAGAGAGAGAGAGAGAGAGAGAGAGAAGAGAAGAGAAGAAGAGAGAGAGAGAGATGAGAGAGACAGACAGACAGACAGACAGACAGACAAGAAAGAAAAGAGACAGAGAGAAGACAGAAGAAAATTTTGAAAGAAAAAAGAGAGAGAAGAAGAGCAATATCAACAGTTGCGACCTCATTCGCCGCAATAAAAAAGCCGCCGCAGAGACGAGGGTCCATGTTCTCTCACCCGAAGCTGCCGTCGGCGTCTGAGTCGTTTTCATCTCAAAGTTCAGCTGTAATAAGCACTGTCACGCTCCCTGCCTCGGCTCGAGTGGCGCAGCTGAAGCCACTGTTGGGCACCGGCTTTCTGAGATTGGGGTTACTTTTTTTTTTTTTTTTTTTTTTTTTTTTTTTTTTTTTTTCTTTGGGTTTATGGTGTATATTTTTGTCTTTTTTGAGATTTTTTATAGATATTTTTTTTTCTTTTTTGAGATTTTCATTTTATATTTTGTTTATTTATTTTTCTTTGGGGTTTGGGGTGAATTTTTTGTGAATTTTTTTTTTTTTTCTTTTTTGGAGATTTTTTATAGATATTTTTTTTCTTTTTTGGAGATTTTTTTTTATAGATTTTTTTTCTTTTTGATATTTTTTATAGATTTTTTTCTTTTTTGAGATTTTATGCTGTTTTTTCGTTTGGAGTTCATCTTTCGTTTCCCGTTTCGGCAGTAGTATTCTTTTTCTCTATTTCTTTTTTTTTTCATTTTTGCATCTTCTTTCGTTTCAAGATGTACTTCAGATTAGGTTAAAAGCTGCTGTGTATTACTTATTATTTATGAATCATTTTTTTTCTTACTTGGAATGGACATTTAATCATCTACTGTTTCCGCATCTACTCCCCCTTCCAGAAATACCCCACCCTCATCTCTTTACCCAGAAATACCCCTACTCCCCCCACGCAGAAATACCCCAGCCTCATCTCTTTACCCATAGATACCCCTATCCCCACCCCCCTCACGCAGAAAAATACCCAGCAATTACCCAGAAATCCCCCTACCGTCCACTCCCCACCTCACCCCCGCCCCAACCCCACCCCACCCCGCCCCACCCCATTCCCCAACCTTATGCCCCATGCCCCATGCCCCACCCCGTGCCCCAACCCCATTCCCCAACCTCATGCCCCATGCCCCAACCCCGGGTGAACTTGTGAAGGTCTCTCCCTCTCCCCGCGCTACCGTTTCTATTCTCCTTCCATTTTTTACCGCTCATTCTATCCTCCTGTTGTAGTTTTTTTTTCGTATTTCTAGATATAATGTATTCTATATTTCGCAAAAAAAGGATCTTAGACGAAGCGCTAAATATGCAGCGCTTTTTGATGGAGGTTGCGAGACAGAGCGAGATTGCGAGATCGGGCGAGACAGAGCGGGATTGATGAGACAGCGTTAGATCGGGCGAACAGAGCGAGATTTTGAGCGGAGATCGGCGAGACAGAGCGAGATCGGCGAGACAGAGCGAGAGCGTAGATCGGGCGAGACAGAGCGAGATCGGGCGAGACAGAGCGAGATCGGGCGAGACAGAGCGAGCGGGCGAGACAGGCGAGAGACAGAGCGAGATCGCGAGACAGAGCGAGATCGGGCGAGACAGAGCGAGATCGCGAGACAGAGCGATGCGAGATCGGGCGAGACAGAGCGAGATCGGGCGAGACAGAGCGAGATCGGGCGAGACAGAGCGAGATCGGGCGAGACAGAGCGAGATTGACAGAGCGAGATCGGGCGAGACAGGCGAGACAGAGCGAGATCGGGCGAGACAGAGCGAGATCGGCGAGACAGAGCGAGATGAGCGAGACGAGAGCGAGATCGGGCGAGACAGGCGAGATGATACAGTGCGAGATCGGGCGAGAGTGGCCGATCTCTCTCCCACAGGCGCAGATTTCAGGGGCATCTCTCGGAGTGCCGGATTCCATCTCAAGTAACGGGTTTTGGGGGCGACAGGCAATTGTCACCCTTATTCCCGGCTGTCGCAAGATGTTTCGCTCTGATCTCTGCAGTCCGTGGATTTTTTTTTTTTTTTTTTTTTTTTTTTTTTTTTTTTTTTTTTTTTTTTTTAAAACTCGGCTTTCTGTGATTCTTTTTTTAATGCGTAATTTATTGGTCATTGATTGGTAGGTGTGTAGTTGGAGGCGACGTTGCCACATTTCGAGAGAGAGAAAAAAAAAACTTTTAGGAGTCGTTAAAATGAAAGGCATTGTTTACAGCTTAATGAATTATTGCACGACCTGCGCACTCATGCATGTGCTTGCTCTTACATTCGGGAGATGGTGAATGAACGAAAATGAACCTTCTTCCACCATAAAGATAAGTACGATCTGATAAAAAAGAACGTTTCCTCATAGAGATAAATGCGTTCTGATAAAAAAATTACGTTCTTCCTCCTAAAGATAAGTACGTTCTGATAAAAAGAGGCCGAATAACTCTTGGATTCGTCAACCGCTCGCAATAGAGAACGTCATATCGAACGGCGCTGGAATGCCGACCCACAGCGAGCGGCTGAGATCGCGAAGGAACGCCCGCCGCCCCGTCGTCATCCTCTCACGCCGTAGGAACGTCACACGCTCCCGCGATCTCCAGGGGTACATCTGGTCCCGCGGTGCCCTCGGAGGCGCCTGCGTCTGGGAGGGCGAGGAATGCGTCTTCCCTCGAGGGCCTCCATGCATTGCCCTACTTGCCCCGGCCACCTGTCCATCGCCGCGCCTCACGCCCTCTGCGCGGCGGGGCAGGTGGACGGAGGAGGAGCGGCTCGGGACGGCGGGGCGTGGCGCGCGGCGGGTGGCGAGCGTTCCGACGGGATGCGCTTCTCTCGCTTGGGCGTTTGCGGGGAAGGCGGTGCCGGGGCTCGAAGGTGTTGCCGGGGCTCGAAGGTGTTGCTGCTTGCTTAGGTGTGGGACCTGTTGAGTAATGGCACGCTGGGGGAAACCTGTATATACACGCATGTATGTGCTCACGTGCTCTACATAGAGTGTGTATGTACTCAGTTGCATACGCCATCACGCTCTCTCTCTCTCTCTCTCTCTCTCTCTCTCTCTCTCTCTCTCTCTCTCTCTCTTCACTCTCTTCTCTCTCTCTCTCTCTCGACTCTCTCTCTCTCTCTCTCTCACTATACATTACACACACACACACACACACCACACAAAGTCACAGCCACAAACAGTATGGGTAAGCTTGATAGATGGACAGAAAGCGAAGAATAGGAATTAGAGAGGAGAAAAAGGAAGACGGCAATGAGAGAGGGAGAATGGGAAAGAGAAGAGAGTGGGAAGGGAAAAAAAGAGAAGAAAGAGGGGAGGCAGCGAGGAGAGGAAGAGAGAAGGGGGGAAGGGGAGGGGAGGGGAGAGGAGAGACGGCAGTGGACAGACCCGGCCGTTGACTGGCGAGGGCGGCGGCGGCACAGGTGTGGCCTCGATGCTCCACATTACTTGCTCGACCAACTAGGAAGTGCCCACCCTGCCCCACCCTAGCGGCTACCCATGCCCCAAGACCCTGCCTCCTCCCTATGTCCATGGCCTAGACCCTTCCTCCTGCCTATGTCCATGCCCCACCCTAGCCTTACCCATGCCCCAAGACCCTGCTTCTACCCATGTCCATGCCTCAGACCCTTTTTTCCTACCCCATGTCCATGCCCTAGACCCTTCCCCCTACCCATGCCCATGCCCCAGACCCTTCCTCCTGCCTATGTCCATGCCCCAGACCCTTCCTCCTACCCATGCCCATGCCCCAGACCCTTCCTCCTGCCTATGTCCATGCCCAGACCCTTCCCCCCATGCCCCAGACCCTTCCTCCTGCCTATGTCCAGCCCCAGACCCTTCCCCTACCCATGTCCATGCCCCAGACCCTTCCTCCTGCCTATGTCCATGCCCCAGACCCTTCCCCTACCCATGCCCTAGACCCTTGCCCCTACCCATGTCCATGCCCTGGACCCATCCCCCTACCCATGCCCATGCCCCAGACCGTGCCCGTGCCCCAACCCATGTCCATGCCCCTGTTGTTACGCTGCCTCGGTTATTCTGACGTTGCTCTCGTCCCCGCCTCCCGATTCCGCTGCCGCTGATGCTGTCGTTTGCTGACCTTGCTGTTCCCTCCCTTTCCCTCGCGTCACGGCGCTCGCTGGCTCTTCCGTTATCCCAGCTGCGAGTTTTTGCCCTTCCTGATGTCGGCCTTGGGGTCCTCTCGCCTTTCCTTCCCTTTTCCTTCTGCCGTTTCGTTTTTCTTTTCTTCTCTTCTTCCTTCTTCTCTCCTCTAGCAGTGGTGCGAGCGAGCGAAGGGGGAGGAGGACTTGGAGGGGGAACCTGAAAGAGGGATCTGGAGAGAAACTTGAGGGGGGACTCAAAGGGGGATTGGGGGGACCTTAAGGGGGGCTCAAAAGGGGACTGAGGGGGGATTTAAGGGGGGGGGAGGCTGGAGGAGGATCTGAAGGGAGGACCTGGAGGTGAGCAGGTAATGTGAGGTTGCGGGGCAGTGATGGCAGGTCGCGGACTTGACGTACGGGGGCAACCACCTACCACCGCTCCTGGTCACACCTGACGGGTTTTAGTCTCCTCTCTCGCCCCCACCTCCCTCCCTCCCCCCCCCTCCCCTCGACTCGCCCTCGACTCGTCCTCGGCTCGTCCTCCTCGTCTCGTAGACTCGGGTGTTTTTAGGCCTTCACGCACTTCAAGGTCTTGGGAGGTGGGTCTTTTCGAGCTGGGAGGAGTATCTTTTTTCTTTGAGATTTCTGTTTGGTTAATTGATTGTGTAGCGTGTGTGTGTGTGTGTGTGTGTGTGTGTGTGTGATGTGTGTGTGTGTGTGTGTGTGTGTGTGTGTGTGTGTGTGTGTGTGTGTGTGTGGTGTGTGTGTAATGTGTGAGTGAGTATGTGTGTGTCTGTGTTTATTTTATCGTCTGTGCTATTATTTTTTTCATTATTTTCACCGACACTTCATTATTTTCATTAATTATAACACTTCTCCTTTTCCCCCCACAGGTACGTCTCGGAATCAGCCACAGACGCCCGCAATACCTTGATACGACTCCGTGAGTATTCGCCTTCGTCACTGACCGCCCATAACAAACATTACGTAAACCCCCCCCCCCCCCCCGTGTTCATGGCCACAGACAACCGTAAAAAAAATGCATCCAGATTACTTGACCATTTTCATCCGGTTTACGTAACGAGGTCGATGGGTGACTCGCTGAGAGTGCGTGTCCTTATTAAGGTTTCGCGATGACCTTTTTATTGGCTCAGGTTTTTTTTTTTTATGTTGTTATTGTTATGTGTGATCAGTCCTCGCGGTGTGTGTCGTTGGTTGGTTCTTTGTTGTTGTTGTTGTTTTTTTCTCTCTTCGTCGATCTGTTGCTTGTTGGTCGTTGTTTTTTTTGGTGGGTCTCTCGCTGTCGTCGTCATCATTATTGTCATTATCATTATCACCATCAAGCATTATTATTGTTATTATTATTATTATTATTATTATTATTAGCAGTAGTAGTAGTAGCAGTAGTAGTAGTTGTTGTTGCTGTTGTTGTTGTAGCAGTAGCATAATTATCATTTTTATTATCATTATCATTATTAGAGTTATTATTATTTCAACAATTACCACTACTAATTCTATATCTTCTACTACTACCACCGCTTCTGATATGGTACTTATATTCATGGTCATCCTAACTATTGTAAGTAGTGACAAGAGAGTTATCACCTTTATTCGTGTGTTCATCCTGCCTCACAAAGCAAGAAATCTGGACCTTTTCAAACACACACACACTCTCCTCTCTCTCTCTCTCTCTCTCTCTCTCTCTCTCTCTCTCTCTCTCTCTCTCTCTCTCTCTCTCTCTCTCTCTCTCTCTCTCTCTCTCTCTCTCTCTCTCTTCTCTCTCTCTCTCTCTCCCTCTCTCCTCTCCCTCCCCCTCTCCCTCTCCCTCCCTCTCCCTCTCCCCTTCCCTCTCTCCTCTCTCTCTCTCTCTCTCTCTCTCTCTCTCTCTCTCTTCTCTCTCTCTCTCTCTCTCTCTCTCTCTCTCTCTCTCTCTCTCTCTCTCTCCCTCTCCCTCTCCCTCTCCCTCTCCCTCTCTCTCTCTCTCTCTCTCTCTCTCTCTCTCCTCTCCCTC